ACTGCGGGGGCATACGTGAATGATCGCTCTCTTTCAATGGCCTCTGGTCCTGCCAGATTGAGGAGTATATAGGCCTTAGTCTTAGCATTTTTGTCACTGTGGGCAGCGGCGATAAAGATGTCATATTCGCGCTCGAACTTACGCCAGTTTTCAGCGACGTTGCCGTCAAAGATGAGAGGATCTGGGCGCCGGAATCCGTCCGCCATGTTGTGCGGTGATTGCTTTTTTCGTCGTCCTTACCGGCTCCGCTTTTCTTCTTGGACTGTGCAGGCTTTCTAATAAATCCCACTTCTGACACCATGTAGGTTTTGCTTATAATAACCAGTCCGCTGTAACTGTATGCCAGGCGTTTATTAGCAGCCAACATGAACGTCTGTACGCTCGTAACAGGAAGTACACATAACATCTAGAGAGAACCACAGCGACACCTGCTGGAACTCTCCGTAACGGCAGCAACAGGAGGCAGTATGGACAAACATAACATTGCTGTTATCTACATCCACCAATCAAAATATTCAGCTCAGTTCTGTGATGCAGAGCCTTCAGGATTTAAACAAACAACAAAACTTCTCCTGATGTGGTTTGTTAAGTGTGTTTTGTCCTGACTGTAACGTAGAGCTGCAGCTTGTTTCTGCTGTGAGCTGAATTCACACGTGTTCAATGTAGTTTTAAATAAAGGTTTATTTAAAGAGGAGCCTAGCATCAACATGTAGGTAATATGGGACTCTTCATACGTTCATCAGTGGATGTACGAGTCGAACACTTTCACGGTATCAGCTGTACAGTTCAAGTAATTCAAAAACAGGTAATCGTCACACCTTTGGACACATTTTTAATAGTTAGAACATATCGGTGAAGGACGTTTGCTTTTTTTCTTTTCTTTAAAGCGTGTGTGGTGAAATCTCTGGTTCATCGTGTGGTCCACCTTCAGGCCGCTGCAGTTTCACCACAGCAGACGCACAACAACGCCTGTCCCATCGTGGAGGCGTTCAGAGTCAGAGACCAAAGAAAGGACATGTTAAAGTTTCTGCATTTATTCAGATGTGATTATTTAAAGTGTTCTAGTTTCTTTGCTCTTGTGTGTGAGATCATCTCCTGACGTGGTGTGCCGGGCTGCCCTGTTCCTTCTGAGCACGCTCAGTTCGTGGTCATCAGCAGAGTGATTAGTGTTGAAAGATGTGTCACATGACCGGGTGTTAGGGCTTAGAGCGAGGCACCGGGAGCTCCCGCAGCACAGCCGTTACAGCCGTGAAGTCCAGCCAGCAGCCATGGGCAGCACCAAGCAGGCAGCCGGTAAGTCTGACAGGATGAAGAGGCAGGAAGTGAGGCACAGGTGGACGACAGGTGGACGACAGGTGTTTAAACTGCGGCGTGTCCTCTGCTGGTAGAGCTGACAGACAGCCTCTGGTCATGTGATCTCCTCTAGCAACCACCTTCTCTCTCTCTGTGTTTCATTTCAGACGCTAATCAGATTAAGAGGCTGGGAAGGAGATTTAAGAAACTCGACCTGGATGACTCCGGATCCCTGAGCGTGGAGGAGTTCATGTCCCTGCCAGAGCTCCAGCAGAACCCCCTCGTGCAGCGAGTCATCGACATATTCGACACCGATGAAAACGGGGAAGTCGACTTCAGAGGTGCGAAAGAGTTTTTACAGAAGACGAACAGCAGCTCAGCCGTTACAGCCTCATCGCTATCACACAGATACAGTCTGACACCTTTTTACAGTCAATAATATCCTCATGATTCAGTTACTCAGTCCAGGTTTGACATTTATATCATCTCTGATCCGCTGAGTCATATAATTAATCGATGAACACAACGTGTGCAGGATTACCCAGCAGGCACCGAGCCGTTCGGTTTGTTCTTGGAGCGTTTTGTCTCTGCGTGGAGACGATCGTATCTCAGACCTTTTGATCTTCTTGTTCTTCAGCCTTAAACAACAACAGTGATGATTTTCCTTTTCCACAGAGTTCATTGAAGGAGTCTTTCAGTTCAGCGTGAAAGGAAACAAGGAGCAGCGGCTGCGTTGTAAGCACTTCAGCTTTAACCATCATGGTTCATAAACTATGCTCGATTTTTAAACACCTTGAGGCGAATGTTGTTGTTTTGATTGTGTGCTACATAAATACAGTCTCGGTCGTTGTGTCCTTGGGCAAGACACTTCACCTGTTGCCTGCTGGTGGTGGTCAGAGGGCCCGGTGGCGCCAGTGTCCGGCAGCCTCGCCTCTGTCAGTGCGCCCCTGGGTATGTGTGTGTGAATGGGTGGATGACTGGATATGTAAAGCGCTTTGGGGTCCTTAGGGACTAGTAAAGCGCTATATAAATACAGACCATTTACCATAAATAACATGGAATCGAACTGAAACTTACCTTCACATTTCCTCTGTGATTTTCTTTGGCCTCAGTTGCCTTTAGGATCTACGACATGGACAAAGACGGTTACATCTCCAATGGAGAACTCTTCCAGGTCCTAAAGACGATGGTGGGAAGCAACCTGAAAGACACACAGCTGCAGCAGATCGTCGACAAAACTATCATCGGCGCCGACAAAGACGGAGACGGCAGAATCTCCTTCGAGGAGTTCTGCACGGTGAGTTTTTGTGACTCGTTTCACCACCTGGACTCAAACTGGAGTCTGCACCAAAGCAACGCGCCGTAATCTGTGCTACAACCACGTTACGTTTCCTAGTAATGCAGTAAAGTGTTATACTTAAAACTGCTATAAAGGTTTTTCAGTTACCTGAATGAGGAGCAAATAGAAAGAAAGAAACATGAAACATTTGGGCTTCAATCAGCTGATCTCAGTTCATGTGCAGGGAGGAGGGCTGCAGATACGGCCATTACTTCTAGATTTGTTGTATGAAAGGTCAAAAAGGATGTTGAAGTGCAAACTGGGTCCAGGACAGAGTTATGGTGCTAACACATGTGTGCGTGCATGCGACCAGCACGGCTCAAAACATGCATCAAAAGTTAGAAACTGACTCTGAGAAAGCTCCAACAGTAAAGACCCGAGAAGGTCGCTTAGGGAAGAACATCGTGAAGCTGTGCTTGCAGGATTATCTAACTCAGCGCTCCCCAACCTTTTTTGTGCCAGCGACCAGTTTATGTCTGACAATATTTTCACCGACCGGCCTTTAAGGTGTCGCAGACAAACACAACAAATTAAAATGATTCAACCGAGACAGAAACTGGTGTTCTGTAAATATAATGATAAACATGAATTCACTGTGTGATTGTGTAACTTTATTAGCAGCGTCCTCCTCTCTGCCCTTAATGCTCTCTGGTCGCCAGTGTTGGTCAAGTTACTTGAAAAAAGTAATCAGTAACTAATTACTGATTACTTCCCCCAAAAAGTAATCCCGTTACTTTACTGATTACTTATTTTCAAAAGTAATTAATTACTTAGTTACTTAGTTACTTTTTAAAAACACGATTTACACCCTGAAGAGGTGATAAATAGATCTTTCAGCCCAGTTCTACTTTTTCTGCATAATCCATCATACAAAATGTAATCAGATGGAAAAGTCTCTTTTTAAAACTTGTTTTATTAGTTTTAATCTTTTAACTTTATGCATCAAGCAAAAATGTAATTATATGCAACATTCTCTGACTGGAAGAAATCAGTTTAACATTTAAAGCTATTTTCTGCACATTCCAGCTCATAAAATAAAATATTTGTTGTGTTTACACTCAGTCTTTCAAATAGATGCAAGTAAAACACAGCAGAAAATAAATAAAGTCAAAGACTCAGCGGTCCTGTTGCTCTATTTTCACCTGTAAAGCAGGAGTGGGGTAGGCGGAGGTTTACCCTGGTGCAGGTGTGCCGCGGTCAGTGGAAGAATCCGCGAGTTTCTCTGTGAGTTTCCCATTACGTCGTAGCTACTCGGTGCTTGTTGGAAGTTTAGGGGTTTTTTCGCTGTAAAAAGAAGTTTTCTTCCCACGCACAGCGGACACTAATGTTTTTGTCACTTTTTATGGAATCAAACTCAAAGTAAGGTCAGTACTTCCACGCTTTAAACGCTGCACGCTCATTCTCTCTCTGCACTCGATATGTGATCCACTGTTGATCTGCACACAGCTGTTGTCACGAACGTCGCACTCGCTTACGTCACTGTCATGAGACATTCTCGCAAAAATTCACGGGGAAAGTAACGGTAATCTAATTACTGTTTTTGCAATAGTAATCCCTTACTTTACTCGTTACTCGAAAAAAGTAATCGGATTACAGTAACGCGTTACTGCCCATCTCTGCTGGTCGCTATGGTAACGTGTAAACATTTCTTTCAAAATAAGACCCAGGGAAATCAAGTTCACAATAAAACCCTGAAAACCATAAACTTCTCACCCGAGCCTCGGCTCTTGCGGCCCGGTACCGGTCCGTGGCCCGGGGTTGGGGACCGCTGCTCTACAGCACCAGCAGGACCTCTTCAGCTCATTTCGAATCCAGAACCCTCACAGGTCTGTTTGACGCCCACAGAACTGAAGTCACCTCATCGGCTCCCAGATCAACACAGAATTACCTTTAAAATCTTTCTGTTAGTTCACGGAGCTCTCGGGGCCTCCAGAGTCGATTCAGTTAAAAACAAGAAAAAACAGTGTGTGACATCACTTCCTGTTGTCTCCTGCAGGTGGCGGGAGGATTGGACATTCACAAAATGATGGTTGTGGACATCTGACAGCCTCTTGTTTATCCTTCGTCCGTTCACAGGAGTCATCCAGCTGTTCCTGCCGCTCTGTTAGCTCCACCGGGCTGTTTGTTTTATGCATCCTTCAGGATCTGAAGGTGTTTGTTTTTATTTTAGTGAGCTGACAGACTTACAGTTTGGTCCATGAATATTTGGATTGAGACAAATTTTCTAATGTTGGTTCTGTACATTACCACAATGAATTTTAAATGAAACAGCTCTGATGCAGGTGAAGTGCACACGTTCAGCTTTAATTCAGTGTGTTGGACAAAATGACCGCATAAAAATATGAGAAACTAAAGTATTTTAACACAATGCCTTCGTTTCAGGCTCAAAAGTATTTGGAAAAATTAAATAACTGAAAATAAATTGATAATTTCTATTACTTTATTCAAAACCCTTTGCTGGCAAAGGCCTTAAGTGTTGAAGTCACGGACACCACCAGATGCTGGGTTTCCTACTTTTGCTGCTCTCCCAGCCTTTACTGCACCAGCTTTCTGCTGCTGTTTGCTTTTCTGTCCTATGTTTAGTCTTCGACAAGTGAAACGCCCAGGTTTAGCTTCAATCATTATTGGCATTATTTTAAATTAACCAAATCATTCAATATGGCACAGAAACAGTGGCACTTGCCGCCCTCACCCCTAAAACTTCTCCCTCTTCCTATACAACCAATTGCCACATGTTGCCATATCATTTTTTGATTGTTTGAGTTTGCATGCTTTGTTTTTTTTAGGTCACATTGCGTCCTGCGTCCTGATCGCTGCAGACGATCTCCTCCGTCTCTCCTGTACAGAATCGCTGCATCGATGCCAGCAGTGTGACTGAAGTGCAGTGCTGTATGTCCACGATGTCCACCAAACGTTTTGCACCGTCAAAAATAAAATTGGCTCCTTGATTTCACCTCTCGCTGGTTATTTTTAGAACATAACACCCGCGATAAACAAGGGGCAGCTGAGAAATATAACATCTGAATCCTTTTATCTTTTGCTCTGAGGCGCGGGGAAAATATCGACAAGTCGATGAACATCATTTACAGATATGTTGGGTAAATGCCCGAGACATCTATAGAAATGTAAATCGCTGCTTGATTCATTCATTTGCTTAACTTGTTTTGGACCGTAAACCAGGCGCGAATAGGACACCGGAAACAAAGCTCCCCACAGGAGTTTCCGCACCGGAAGTAGCATATGCTAACGTGCACATGGTCTATTCCAATTTAGCTGGAGGTGAGCAGACAGTCTGTCTCTAAACAGCTCAGAATTCACTCAGCTGCTTCAGGCCTGTGTCACATCATCAGGAAACACAAGTGTTTTTGCAGAACTGTGCTGGCTTTTCTTAGGTTTTCTTTTTTAGCAAAGTCCTATCTAGCCTTTCTGTTCTTGAGGTTTATGAGTAGGGATGGGTATCGAAAACAGTGGGAACCGGTTCTCAACAAGAACCGGTTCCCACTGTCTCAATTCCTTGGGATCGTTTGCCATTTTTGCAAACGATTCCCTTATTGATTCCAGTCGCCCCGAATGACGTCACCACGTTGCTGAGCGTCATTTACCTGGCAGGAAACACGGCGGCTCAAAC